TGCAATCCATTAACCAGTTTAGTAGCTCCTCTCTGAACTCTCTCTAAAGTATCAATATCCTTCTGAAGATACTGTCTCCAGTACTGCATACAATACTCCAAGTGAGGTCTCACCAGTGTTCTGTACAATGGCATGAGCACTTCCCTCTTTTTACTGCTAATACCTCTCCCTATACAACCAAGCATTCTGCTAGCATTTCCTGCTGCTCTATTACATTGTCTGCCTACCTTTAAGTCATCAGAAATAATCACCCCTAAATCCCTTTCCTCAGATGTTGAGGTTAGGACTCTAACAAATATTCTGTACTCTGCCCTTGGGTTTTTATGTCCAAGATGCATTATCTTGCCCTTATCCACATTAAATGTCAGTTGCCACAGTCGCTTACACAGACTGCATGAAAGAATTGCTTCATTTTCAATCAGATGTTAACTTACTTTGGAATCTTATCTGTAATTTTATCTGTAAATTGAACTTTAATCACACACAGAGAAGGATATTAAAAAAATCTAACTTTAACAGACTGTTCAGTAGAAGAAGTTTAAACATTAGATGTCTCTTTCCACAAAGTGTTTAGGACAGGGCTGGCCTTAGGGGAGTGCGAGCAGCGAAGTCGCTCAGGCAGCCATGGCAGCAGGGGTGCTGGGTAGCCAACATAGCTTGCACACACAGGGGATGACGGTGAAAGGCAGAGCATGAAAAAAAATGTCAGTAAGTAAGGGGCGGGGCTAAATACATGACTGGGCAGAGCTAAATGCACGCCAGAACAGAGCTACAGACATCCTGAGTCTCTCTGAGGTTCTGCGAGACTCCCGCATTTTGAATGCAGATCCTGACACCCGCAAATCACATACAATAACCCGGAAATCACACACACAACCTGATGTGTGTGTGTGATTTCCATTATATTTTAAATGATTTGCACCCCATAACAGTCTCATAATACTTGCTAAACAAGGGCCGATCAGTTGCCAGCCCTTTAAGAGCCGACCAGCCCCTGTGATATCAGCCGGCAGGCAGTGGCGGATCCAGAGCCTGATCTCGGGAGGGGCACTTGTAGATTATTTAAAGAAATAATTCAGACACAATAACCACTACAGCTCAGTGTAGTGGTTATGGTGTCAATAGTGCCGGGACCCCCTCCCACAGTAAGTAGTCAAACCGTTTAAGAACAGTTTGACAACTTACCTGAGATCTGCTGGGAAATGGGGCTGTAGTAGGGCATAGGAGCAGTGGTGTGTGTGAGTGGTGCAATGTGTAAGGGGTGCAGTGTGTGTGTGAAGGTTGTAGTGTGTGAGTGAGGGCGGCAGTGTATGTCAGGGATGCAGTGTATGTGTGGGACAGTATGTGTGTGTAACAGTTGCAGTGTGTGTGTATGGGGGGCAGTGTGTGTATGGGGGGCAGTGTGTGTGTATGGGGGGGCAGGTGTGTATGGGGGGCAGTTTGTGTGTGTGTGTGTATGTGGGGGCAGTTGTGTGTATGGGGGCAAGCAATGTGTGTATGGGGGCAGTGTGTGTGTATGGGGGAGCAATGTGTGTATGTGGGGGCAGTGCGTGTGTATGAGGGGCAGATTGTGTGTATGGGGGCAGTTTGTGCGTATAGGGGGCAGTTTGTGTGTATGGCGGGCAGTTTGTGTGTATGGCGGGCAGTCTGTGTGTGTATGGGGGGCAGTGTGTATATGTGGGGCAGTAAGTGTGTGTATGTAGGGAAGAATGTGTGTATGGGGGGCAGTGTGTGTGTATGAGGGGCAGTGTGTAGTGTGTATGAGGGGCAGCTTGTGTGTATATGTGTGTGTATAGTGTGTGGGGGCAGTGTGTGTGTGTGTGTGTGTATGTAGGGGGCAGTGTGTGTATGGGGGCAGTGTGTGTGTATGGGGAGCAGTGTGTGTGTATGGGGGCAGTATGTGTGTGTATAGGGGCAGTGTGTATGGGGGCAGTATGTGTGCATGGGGAGCAGTTTGTGTGTATAGGGTGCAGTTTGTGTATGGGGGGGCAGTTTTGTGTGTATAGGGGCAGTTTGTGTGAATGGGGGGCAGTTTGTGTGAATGGGGCAGTTTTGTGTTTATAGGGGGGCAGTTTGTGTTTATAGGGGGCAATGGGGAGGCAGTGTGTGAATTTGTGTGAATGGGGGGCAGTTTGTGTAAATGGGGGCAGTTTGTGTGTATGGGGGCAGTTTGTGTGAATGGGGGGGCAGATTGTGTGAATGGGGGGGCAGTTTGTGTGAATGGGGGGCAGTTTGTGTGTATATGGGGGCAGTTTGTGTGAATGGGGGGGCAGTATTGGGGGCAATGTATGTGTGTATGGCTTTTTTTTTATATATTTTTTTTTATTTAATTAAAATAAATATTATCCTATGTCCCCCCTCCCTTCTTACCTTTACTGGGGAGGAGGGAGGACATATTTCGTTCCCTGGTGGTCCCAGTGGTGATTCCCTGGTGGTTCCAGTGGGGAGAGTGAACTCTAGCCCGCGCTCCCGGGCTAGAGTTCACTCTTGCGAGATTTGGAGCGTTGCCGTGGTAACCGCGGCAACGCTCAAAATCTCACGATAGGAGGACCCGGAGGAGCTGCAGACTGAGCTCCCGGGTCACTCTCCCTCCCCTGCCGGCTCTCAGCACAGTGCCTGCGGACCGGGAAGGGAGAGAGAGCCCTGATCATTGATCTCCCCCTCCCCCCCCGGTCCGCAGGCACATTGCAGGGCTAGCGCCTGCATGTGCTGGCAGGGGAGGGAGAGGGAGACCGGCGGATTTCTCGGGGGGGGCAATTGCCCCGTTGCCCCCCCCCTGGATCCGCCACTGCCGGCAAGGAGGAAATAACAGCCACTTCCTCCCTGCTTCACAGAGAGCTAGAGAGAAAGGAGGGAGGGAGGAGGCTGAAGGCAGCAGAGGAGAACAGAGCAGCATGGAGTCAGAGTCATACTTTTGCATGCTCACTCCCATTAGCCAGGACCAGAACACTAAGAAAACTGCCCTCCTGGACACAAAGATACGCTAACAGGAGGGTGGCTGCAAATGTATAAAGTATGACTTGTCTGGTGTCAAATTGTGTGCATGTCAATATGTGTATGTGCCAGTGTGTATCTGAGTGTGTATCTGTATGTCAATGCGTGTATCTGAGTGTCAGTGTGTATCTGTGTGTCAGTGTATAATTGAGTGTCTGTGTGTGAATGTGTTTGTGTGGGGGGGACTACGCGTGGCAGGGGGCGGCGGGTGTAGAAGCCACCTCACTGAAATGTATTTTTGCATGTTGGGATGTCTGGAGCTAAATGGACACCAGAGTACAGCGTGACTGCCTATAACTGTACGTGATTGTCTGCATGTGAGTGTGTGTGATTGCCTGTAACTGTATGTGTGTCTGTCTGCCTGTGACAGTGTGTAAAAGCCTATAACTGTTTGTTGGTGACTGTCTGCCTGTAAGTGTGTGTGTGTGTCTGTGTGTCTGCCTGTAAGTATGTGTGTGGCTGTCTGCCCATAAATGTGCGTGTGATTTTCTGCCTGTGACTCTGTGTGGCTGCCTGTAATTGTGAGTGTGGGACTGCCTGTAACTGTGTGTGTGACTTCCTGTCTGTGACCATGTGTGGCTGCCTGTAATTGTGAGTGTGGGACTGCTTGTAACTGTGTGTGTCTGCCTATAATTGTGAGTGTGGGACTGCCTGTAACTGTGTGTGTGACTTTCTGTCTGTGACAGTGTTTGTGTAACTGTCTTCCTGTATATCCTGTAGATATATATATATATATATATATATATATACACACACACTGGACCATGAGAAAAAAAGCATCCACCCTCCCTGAAAGGTTACAGGGAATTTGTTTTTGTTTTTTTAATGATTATTAATTTAATAAAGCCCCTATACATGGATGAGTGGGTGTGACAAGGGAGGGACACTGTTAAGATTTTCCATTGGGGGGCGCCTAAAGACCTATGGCCACCCCTGGTTCAGGAAGGCTGTGCAATCACATGCAGTGAGATGTGACTAGGGCTGCATAAACAAAGTGACTGAAGTCCTAAACGGCAGAGATGTGAACAGTGAAACTGCAGATGCATGATTTATACACCAAAACTTCTTAATTATTGGTTATAATGTCCCTTAAAGGATAGGGATCAAATGTAGAAATCCAATATAGGGTGGAATAAGTGCAAATTAAATGTGCATATAAAAAACAAATACTAAAACAAACCTGCAAGATTATTTACTGCGGTGTATAATGCTATAAATGCAAAAGCAATTTAAATGTACAGCTGATTTGGAGAATATTTACAGTTGTAAATAACTCTGAAAGTCCACCCCCGCATCATGCTCAATGAATACTTTTATAAAACATCTCTAGAACAATAAACTAAATTACAAACAGGTTGTGTTGATAAGTAATTTTCACCTTAGTTACAATCCACGTATCACATTTAATACATTTAGAACAATTTTACCATTACATGTTACAAAAACACTCTTTAAAAAAAATATTTTATATATATATATATATATATATATATATATATATATATATACATACATACACACATTCCACAATACCAATTTACACAATACCAATTCTAATTATTCATAACTGCAATACAACTGTATGCTCCATAGGTTATATATGCTATCTCTGAAATATCATATGTGCTAGTATAATTGGAATTATTGCAATAGCAATGTATATTATACAATATAAACATAAATACCGCACTCTGCATTAATTATGCTAAAGAAGAGATTCATAAATCAGTATGCGAAAAAAATATTTCATTTATTGAATACTGACCCTGTGTGATTCAAAAAAGGCTACTGGAAATAATTGGTGACCTTATTCTAAATACATATATCATACATATTAAACAAACTCTTAATGAATACAGATAATATTTACAACCAATGGCAATCCCTTTTCATATATCATACACAAGGTATAAATTCATGATATATACAATACTATGTACAACTAATTACAGTCCTAATATCCCATGCTTGTAGCTGTAAAGTATCTTAAGTGGACCCACCAAATGCTAGGCCTTTTGGAAAAAAAAAGAGAAAATTATTATTATCTCCAAATACTGCTATATATGGGTGGATCTCACCAAAAGTGGAGATGTCTTTGAAGGGATCGACTTGTAGTAGTATAGAGGGTTTTGCTTGGTGATGAAGTAGTTAAAAAGAGTCCTCCTGAGTGAAAGGTTCGTATTGCAGTAAAGTCTTCCTATGAGGTAAGGTAAATCAGACTGATCAGCAGCAAACGATCCTGGGATAAGTCAGCTGGTCTGCAGCAAGAACGGGCAGGCAATGTATATTAGACACTGATCAGAATCAACATTAAAATCATCTGCCTAATATCGTATACGGTAAGTCCCCCTCATGCTGCCAAAACACATACGTCAAGGCCTGGGCTCCACAAGACCTCTGACCATGTCCTGTGATATCTGGCACCAAAACATTAGCAGCAGATCCTATATAACCAATATTAACTTTGTATCAAATATATCTATATATAATTTGAACACCAAACAATATAACACAATGTTCCATAAACATATCCATCCTTGCCAATCAATTATCCGAAACCTCGGAACTCATCTGGGCACTTGCCCTCCCCTCTCGTCCCAACCAACACTGGCCACAAAACCTGGTCTTCCACAAACACCATGCTAACCCCTAGCCGACCTTTGGCTCAGTGGGCACATCCGTAATAATATGAAATAAAAAATATCTTACCAGTTAAGCAACTGTTTATTGTATATATTACCATATGAGGATCAACACATTTTTCATACAGAAACCATTGACACCACACATCAAGTTTTAGCATTCAGGTTGTAGAGAAAGACTGTACCCGAGGTCTATGATCCCTAGCTTATATGTCTAGGTGCAAAAAAACATGATTAACAGTTATCCAACTCTATGTAAAACAAAATGTTCACTTTTAAAAAAGAAATAAATAAAAAGAAATAAATAAAAATTGCACAAATTGTACCAGAATAAAAACGTATTCAACTGTAAGCCAACTTTGTTTTATGTCGACTTCTTGGCACAGTGCTGTAATAAAATCGGTCACGTTATTAAAGGGATACTATAGTGCCAGGAAAACAAAGCCGTTTTCCTCGTTTCCTCGCACTGTATAATCCTAAAGTGCTCCCCCCCCCCTTGTGCCCCTCTTTTCCGTGGCACTGAAGGGGTTAAAACCCTTCAGTTAATTACCTGAATCCAGGGCCGGATGTCCCTCGGTGCTGGGTCAGGCTCTGCCCACGCTCCTCCCTTGCGTCAGCCGGTGGGGGAGACCTAATGCGCATGTGTGGTAAGTGCCGCGCTCGCATAAGGATTCCCTATAGGAAAGCATTGTTTCAATGCTTTTCTATAGGGTTTGATTAACGTTGGATGTCCTCAATCACAGCGTGAGGGCATCCTGTGTCATTTAGGCGACTTTTGGTCACCTAACCACCCGGAAGTCCCTCTAGTGAGTGTCAAGTAGACGGCCACTAGAGGTGGAGTTAACCCTGAGAGGTAATTATTGCAGTTTTTTTAGAAACTGCAATAATTACCACTGTAGGATTAAGGAACATGGGACATTGCACCCAGACCACTTCAATGAGCTGAAGTGGTCTAGGTGCCTATAGTGTCCTGTTAAACAGAAATTATTTTGTGTGCACAGAAGTGCCCAGAAGAGACTTGCTACATATGGTCATAGATTCACAGGGATACTATGTATGAAACAGGCACAGAGTGGATGAACGAAAAGGGGGGGTGCAGGAAAGCAGTGCCTTCAAATTTTCCTGTGAAAGTGCTGCTTCCCTGCACCCCCCTTTTGTACAGTACCTATTCACGACCAGAAAAGAGACTCTGGTTTGGGAATTACAAGCTGCCACACTCATACCAAACAAGTGCCAGAAATACCCCTGTTACAGATTTGATGAAACACAGATGGAAGAAATTCATAACTGTCCCATTCCTATTACAGCTGATAGCTATGAACTGACCACAAACAAATAAGCAAGTAGGTTTGTAAATTACACTTGACGTGGTGCTTTGCCTATCTAGGAGATTAGAGTGGTTTAAAAAATATATATATATGTAGAAAACTCATCTATTATAAATAAAAATAAAAATGATGAGTTTTTGGAATAAATCCAATCAAAATCATGTGAGCATCTTAAATGTTTGATGCATTGTTAAGTATTACATAATCACACCTGAGGCACTGACCATATTTGGAAATTCTAACTTGTGAGTTTTTTTCTTTTTATATACTACTTTTTTCCAGTACCCAACGTTGAATGAAAATATTTCAATATTACAAATTGATTTGTGAAAGAGCGTTGTCTGTGGGTTTTTTTTTTTTTTTTTTATAGAAACTGTGCATTTTAAACCAGAAATACATAAATATCCTCTAAATTGACATTTTGAACATTCCTAACAGCAGGCACATATATACAATGAGTTTATATATGATGAAAAGTAGTAAATGCGCTACTAAAACTACACACAATATAGATTGTCCTTTCTGTTGCAGTGATCAACACTAAACTTATTTACACCAATATATTCTTCACATCGGGGACAAACTTAAAGAAGCTTTGTCAGTTTTCCCACACCCCTATGCTCCAATGCTCATTAGTGACCCTTGGGCTCACCTTTTTTTATCCTTTATTCATGGTGCCACCAACTTAGTAATTACACTATCATGCTCTCTGGAAATTTTAACCTCTACACCTTTTTGGAGAAGTGGTTCCTAAAAAAGCCCTCATTGCCCACCAACAATCCAGAATTTATATATTTCCCTGTTATATTCCAGTGGAGATACTGACAAAACCTGGACTGTTGGTGGGTCTTGATGACCTAGGGTATTTGCATGAAATCACGCATGTACCCTGTAAAGAACTCACACAAAAGACTGTGAATCACTACCTTTCCTTTTTATATACCAGCCCCTATGTGTGTATGAACCCCTCAGCACTCGTTTATCACACTCAAAAAGCGTCCACATAGAGCTGGAGTATCCACATATTGTCAGCTGGGATTACCTATATTAGCTCAGCCTGTATTTCGCCTTGTCCCAGTCCCCTTATCCCCTGGTTATAAACCACTTCCCAATGGTCCAGGAAAGCGATTCTTGGAGGGAAGTTACTACCCTCAGGACAGGCAATTGCTCTCTATGACCAAGAGGGAGCTTCCCCGCATTGAGGAAACAAAGCTCCCGGTAAATCACCGACAAATGGCCCTTGAAACTTTGATCGTGTGACGTTCAGACAATAACTCAAGTGGGAGATGTGGGATCTCATGGATCAGATTTTCACAGAATGGGTGCTCGATTCACACATTTAAGGAGATGTATGACATGTGGGGGTACAGTGCTGCTTCAAATGTTTTCAGGGTTTTTATGTGTGCATCCTCTGTATCCGAGAGATAATGAGTTTAACTGAGAGTTGACTCAATTATCTCTTAGACAAAAGGCCCCTGGACTTACCTTGTAGTGAATGGAGACCCCATGGTGGGAGTCTGTGTATATAAACCTGTGTGGTTTTCCAATATAACCAGTTCTTTTACCCCTCATCAAGTCTCGATGGATGTTTGGGTATGCAAAGGCTGTAACACACTACTTGCTTTCCGGGATCTAGAAGAGAAGGTTCCACTCTGGGTACAGGTGTTCCATTACATACCCAATTCACAGATAATAGCATAAGTGAGTAAACTTTTGTCATCCTGAAGTTTCTACATAAGAAATAGTAGTCCCTTCTTCTCGTTATGTATAACACTTCACAGAAACATTTTAGAGGGGAATAAAAACGGGTTTGCCCAGGAGAACAAAATGCAGCAATATGCACACAAAAAAAGTGACAGAGCCACTTTAATGTCTCATTAATGGTGTACATGTACGCATATATGTTGCCTTTAATAATTACATTTAGTGTCAGTGTTCAACTTTTTATAGTATTCATATAACATTATAGCAGCAACAAAGCGAATTCATATATACAGTGAAGAATACTTGAAAAGTTGTTCAATTTAACTACATATAGCCCTTCAATGTCTTTTATCATAATTACCAAGTTCTGTTTCTTATAATAATGGTTTGGAAAAGTAATGGCTTCAGTTTCTAGACTCCTAGATCATATGAGTTCACATTAAATTTGATAAGTGGATACTTAATAGAAATAATTCAACTTCTGCCAGCGACAATATAGTCTTAATTTGTATTAGAATGTGTCCAGTTCTGTTCATAATGTGTTCACCTTGCTGTTGGTAGTATAATTAACAACTACTAACATTTGTGATCTGTAAATCACACCAACATGAAGGTGAGACGCCATACTTATAGCAGGGATAGGAGCCCTCCGCTAGTTAGCAATTGAGAATAAGAGATCTTTCTCCAGTGTTGGACCCACAACATGGATTCCCCTTTTATCAGGGAGTGTTTCCAGGGATCATGTCAATTGTTATGGGTGCAAGTCATAAGGAAATATCGTATTTTAGCTTGTTCTTTACTTTTACCAACAATTAATTTGTGTCTTGCTGTAGTTTGCTCTTTTCAGTGTCTAAATGTATCTAAAAGTCCTGATAAAGTCTTGAAGACCAAATTCAAAGAAATGTCCATGGGGAACTGCTGAAATTAGTCATATTTGAAAGAAGCCTGTGTTCAACAGAGAGGGCAATGTCATTGAAAACAATTTCAAGATAATCAAAGTCCTTTGCATAAAACGCATGCATTTTAAATGAACTTGAAAATATTAAAATAATAATTTTGAGTGGATAAATATTTTTTTTGAGATAAAGGTTTTCTTATAGTACAACAAGGATGTGTTATTATGAAAAGTTTAAGGCTCATGAGGGCTAGAATGTGGCCACGAATAGGTTGAGAAATATATGGGGGGTTTTTTTCCCTGATAAAAGAAAATAAATAAAAACTGAACAATAACCTGGGACGTGTTGAAAACAATTAAAGAAACAGATAAATGAAATTGTATTCATTATGCTTTACTGCTACGCCAACAAGCTACTCTTGTGTGCTTTTAAATATACAAAAGCATGGTAATAAAAACTAAATTTTACGCTCTCCTTATTTCTATTTTTTATGTCTTATCAAGGAAAACAAATAAGTCTTGGCAGGGACACAGCTCTGCTGCTCATGAGATTGGCTCCAATTCATTCCACTAGGGGCACAAATTGCTTAAGGGTGCATGACTCACCATGCACATTTACAAATAAATGGGATATCATAGATATGTCAATAGATGAATCTACATTTGATGATATTTAATGGATTAAAATCAGCCACATAGCTCTAAAATAATTGATAGAAAACAAAACTGGTATATTAGACCTTTAATTAAAAGTGATTTTGTGGACCTGAAGTACAAGCAGCTCATATGAAGGATGTGCCATAGTATATAAATTTTACAAAAGACTAAACCCTAAATTTTGTCATGTTTATGGCATTTTTCCTTTCTTTAATTTTCAAAGTGGTGACTAGCTGAACATTTGAAATGGTGGAATAATGGATTACCTGATAACATTTTAATAAAGAATAATATTGTAAATAAAAACTAAATATTGCATTTTAACATTGAATGTAATTGTCCGTACAAAGCATGCTCATATACCCCTTGGACTGCCTCAGTATCACAAATTAGAGCCACCAGAGCTTTATGAACCTGCAGTTACATACATGACCACAAGGGCTGTTTAAGATTAGACAAAGACAGATCGTAGGTACTAAATCTGCTACAGCCAGACATTGGAAGGAACCTTCACCTCGATGGAGCTTTAGCCATGCTAAAAGGAACAGATGGAAAATGTGACTTATTTTATCGGGAGCACTGTGGTGACATTTGAACATATCTTGAAGACGTTCAACGTAAAAAAGCATCACCCATATCTCGTTCTAAAGGACCTTGCTCACAAGATTGGGCTGTGTGATTTTGCTCCTCTTTCCCAGTCTTCGTCCTTTCCCCTCTTTTTTAGAATCAAAATTTGCTGTGTAATTCATACAATGTTCAGTGTATTTGAGTTTACTTCAATACACAATCACTGTATTCGGGTACTACAATGTTAGATTTTTCTTCATGATTTTCACAATATTTAGTTTATTATTAAAAGGATACAGGCAGGCCCCAAAATGGCGCTTCTTTAGCTTTACAATCTAACCACTCTCATTTGGGGTGGTCTAGCTTCTCTTGGATACAACAGATCCAACTATGTTTGACTATTATATTTCTAGGCAGTTCCATCGGCTAAACAATCGGACTGAAAATATGAAAGTCTCCCACTTGTAACTAGATAATGTAACTATGGAGGAGTCTTAAAATGTAATATTATTTCGGAGTTCTTTTTATTTACTGAAGAACTAGATTTATCAAAGTTATTTCTTTGAAGGCATATCCAGTAATTATTTTTAATTATTTTTTTGGCTGTAAAACACTGTCTGACATAAAATAAACAAACCTGTATAATGTTAAAGAAAGTATTTGATTCAGGATACAAAAAGAATCTGTGAAAGATTGGAATCATTTCAGAGAATACTTTTAAATCACAACACAACAGAGGCAGGAACCATGATACTCAATATATCTGGATTGTACAAGAAGTGTCTAAATCCAATACTTGCTGGCCTTCATGATTATGGCCAGAGTAATCAAGATTACGATGACTCATCAAACTCAGATGGTCCTCTATTTCAAGGCTTCCTCATCTTCTGGAGATCGCATTGTGGAAGGAACTTCTGTGTCTGTATGTGCTTCCTATATCAAAGAGATATAATTCATTTTGTTAATAAAGTGCAATTCAGGAATATTCTAATCTACTTTTTATGTATTCATTTGTATGTATGAATCTGAAGGATAGATATTATTATTATTATTGACATTTATATAGCGCCAACAGATTCCGTAGCGCTTTACAATATTATAAGAGGGGGGATTTAACTATAAATAGGACAATTACAAGAAAACTTACAGGAACGATAGGTTGAAGAGGGCCTTGCTCAAACAAGCTTACAGTCTATAGGAGGTGGGATATAAAACACATTAGGACAGGAAATATTAATTGGATTAATGTTTCTGTTGGCTAATGACACTTAGTTTTGTTTGCATTACTGCCCATAAGTGGATCACGTGAGATAACCCTTTAGTTTGATACATGCACAAACATAAAAGAAAAGAGGACATTACATTTTATAAAACCACAACTGTAAATGATAGAGTAACTAAAATTGAAGCGTCATTACATTGTGATCATATAAAGAATATATTATGTACTGTTTTTATTATAAGTAATAACAGGGATTTATGTATATAATACAAATAATACAGTTTATTCATGGCAGCCATGATAAATCAATTGAATAGCTTCTGCACAGGTGTAAGATTTGTTTATTCTGCGTTCCTAGCATTTCATACCACCCAACATTTTGAAGGAGGACACGTTCATTTTAAGGGTGCAAGTGGGGTATGTTTAGGGGCAGAGCTGTTCTGAGAAATTGTAAGTGACTTATTATTAATTTATTAAACTAAAATGTCACTAAGAACAAGAACAATGCAACTTATTTACACAGACTGATTTCTAAACACATTTATTGTGGTTTAACCCCTTAAGGACCGAGGACGGTTCAGGACCGTCATCGGCATTTTTGCGTTGCCGACCGATGACGGTCCTGAACCGTCCTAACGGTCAGAGCTACTTACCTGATCGCCGTCGTTCCCCCGGCGGCGATCAGCGTGGCTCCGGTTGTGGGGAGACTGCCTGCAGCCCAGGCAGTCTCCCCACGGCAGATTAGGACCCCTGTGGCCATGTGATCGCTTAACACAGCGATCACATGGTCACAATAGGTGTCCATGTGTCTGCCTGCAGGGGGACTGCCTGTGCTGACAGGCAGTCTCCCTGCTAGTGTAAAATCAGTAAAAAAAAATAAAGTTAGTGTTAATAAAAAATAAATAAATAATTATATATGTGTATATATGATATATAGACATATATTATATCTATATAGTATATGTCTATATATCATATATATAATGTCATACTAAGTGTATTTTTATATTAATATGTACTTATATTAATATAAAAATACACTTATAATTAAATTACACACGTATATATATAATATATATAATAACTATTTGTATATATATATATTATTATAAAATATAAATAATGAGTAATTTAAATTAAATAATTTTTTTTAAATAATAATAAAAAATTTAAAAAAAAATATATAGCTATATGAAATTTTATTCT